GATCCCTCTTGCTACCCTCTCATAGCTATGTCCTTTTCCCTCTTACCTCCCTTAACACTTTCTAATCACTAATGTGCCAGACCTTAGAGATTAAATGGCAAGTAAGATAAATAGTTAATAATAATCTAGGTTCTGACATCAGACCACTTGTTTCTGCAAATAGCTTTAACAGTTGCTGTCTGTGTGACTTTGAACTTAACCTTCGTAAACCTCTCAGTCTCTTCAGTTATAATGTAGGTATGTGACAGTATGTTGTCCTTCATAGTGTATGATGACTAAATCCAGTAATCCACTATGATGGCAAAGTTATTATTGTGTATTATGTTTGTGAAGCTTATAATCTAGAAGAGAATACAGATAACAGAATATTATAAAGTGGTTTAATAGCTAGTAGCAGATCACTGTAAGAACACTTATGCTAGGCTCTAACTTAGAATTAAATTGAGGGAATAAATTTAAGGAACAGATTATAAGAAGAAGCAATAAAAAAACAACAACTGAGATTTAAAGGATGGATGGGTGAGGCAGATGAAGACAGTGAAGTACCGTATTTCCCCATGTATAAGACGCACCCTTTTTCGAAAAATTTGGGGTCTAAAAACTGGGTGAGTCTTATTCAGTGGTTGTAGATTTCTTTACTTGCATTTCCCGCAAGTGATGAGGAGTTGTATGAATTTTATGATGAATAAAACTTGAGTTCAATAACTTCATGTAATACATTTTTTTCAAATTTTGGGCCCCAAAATTAAGGTGTGTCTTAAACATGGGAGTGTCTTATACATGGGGAAATACTTTTCAAGAAGGGTCAAAGGCTAGAAGTAAAGAAGACAGAACTTCAGAAACTGTATGAGTCAAGGATAGACAGCTTTATGAAGACAGTCCCAAATGTTTTCTTGTGAGACTTTGTTCATTTCTATACATGTACAAATCTGTACATCCTTTGTTTTCTGCAGTTCTACTTCTGATTTTTTGTAAAGATGTGGACATATTTTTCTTTGCTATAAGAAATAAAACTGAAATACCACTTGTATGGCTGACTTTTGTTAGGTTTCTAATTCTTTGAAGGAAGCCATATTTTCATCTATTTTCTACCCTCATTTTATGTCAGAAATAGAAGATTTCCATTTTCTAGAATCATAGTATCTTTCAGGTTTGTTGGGAAACCTGAACGCTTCTCTCTTGGCCACTCATCGTGAAGACCTCTGTTGACATGTTAGGGTTATTTCTCCTCTGCACCCCCTCCTCCAGCGGCTCCCTGAAGTCCTAACGCCTTGTTTACACTATGCACTTCCCTCCCTCTGTTTTGATCCTAACACGTGTGATAGTGTTGTTTCTTTAATTTTTTCATTTATTTTCTCCCTTATTCTATAGTTTTCAATGAAGAGGTCTTGAACATCCAGTACTAGGTTGAGTAACATAGATGAGGGGGGAAATTTTTGCTTTGTTTCATATCTTATGGGAAAACATTCAGTCTTTCACTATTAAGTGTGGTATTAACTGTAGGTTTAAAAACAGTTACTCCTTCTCAAGTTGAGGAAGTTCTTTCTATTCCTTATTTACTGGGAGTTTTTTATCAAGAATGGTGTTGAATTTTGCCAAATCAACTTTTTTTGCATCACTGATATAATCGTGTGGTTTTTCTTCCTGGTAGATTACGTTGATCCAAATACTGAACCAGCCTTGGCTTCTGGGATAAATCTTACTTGGCTGTGGCCTAAGTTCGTTTTTACTTGCTGGGTTTTATTTACTAGGCTTTTTTTATTAAGAATTTATGTATCGATATTCATCAGGAATATTTGTAGTTTTCTAGTGATATGTCTGTCTGGTTTTCGCATTGGTAATATTAGTCTCATTGAATGAATTGTTCCCTTTTCTGTTTTCTGGAAGAGATTGTATAGAATTGGTATTATTTATTTGTTAAATGTTGAGTGAAACCATCTGGGCCTGGCAAATTATCATTTTTTTAAATTATAGATTAAATTTCCTTAATGTTTCCAGTGCTTTTCAAATTAATATTTTATACTGGGAAAGTTTTGGCCATTATTGAGTTTGTTTTGGCCGCACACTCTTACTGAGCTCCAATTACAAATATGCCGTACCCTTTACGCGGTCCTGTGGGTAGTTGAGGCTGTGTGCATTTTAAATATTATTTCCTCTCTTTTCCTCTGGTGGGATAATGTCTATGACTCTTCAAGCTTGTGGGCTTTGTGATGTCCAGGATTTTCTTAAGCCCATTGAGTGAATTTCTCTCATGATAATTTTTAGTTCTAGAATTTTGGTTTCTTCGTATAGTCTCCATCCCTCTGGCAAGATTTCCTGTCTTTTTGTTTATCTGGAACTTACTCTCCTTTATGTTCTTGAACACAACTGTAGCATCTGCTTTAATTTGTTTGCTCATTCCAGCAGTTTTGTCATCTCAGGGTTGGTTACAGTTGGTTGGTTGTCTTTTCTCCTCAGAATTGATCTCATGCTGCTATTTTGTATTTTGAATACTCTACACATTATCTTGTGGGACCTTGCCTCTGTGGAGTGCCGAGGTTTTTGTTTTAGTGGTAGTCATCTCGGTCAGGCTCAACATGCATGCTCCGTTGTGCCTGTTGAGATCTATCGTGGGCACGGTCGACACACGGAGTTTGGGGTTCTCCTTCCTGGCTTCTGTGTCACTCGCCACAGCCCTGGCTGCTCTGGGCCTCACTCGTTTGGCTGTGCTGCTTGAGGGCACAGCCTGAGAGAGGGCTCTCCCTGATCTGGTGGCCTTTGCTTGTCGATAGGACCTGTGGGAGACGGCCACGTGTGCTCTTGGCCCAGGTCGCACTCTGGCTCACTTCCCTGGCCTGCAGCTATGCTCGCCCCTTGGGGTCCTGACCTGTCGCTGCTGGCAGCTTCCTCGCCTGTTCCAGCTGCACTGTCTGGGAGGACCTACTTTAGATTTCAGTGTTTACCATTTTGAAGCCACCTTCACTTGCTAGCTTCAATATATATATATATTTTTTTTAAGATTGTTTTTTTTTATTGGGGAATTGGGGGGATGGGAACAGCGCTGGGGAATTGGGGGAAGG